TTTATATAGATCTATATCTGTATATATCTATATAGGTATAGATATACAGATAAGATATACAGATATTCTGATTTCCTCAACATGATTTCATAAGACTTTCATATTTGTGGGGGTTTTTTGTTTGTTTTTTTGCAGAACCAGGGATTGAACTCAGGCCCTTGAGCTTGCCAGGGAAGCACTTATTCCACTGAGCCATCTCCCCGGCCCCTATGTTTGTGTTTTTATATAATAAAGCTTTTGTTTTAATGAATGCACAATATTCTGTGCTATTATAGTAATAAGTATTCTTCCCTTAGTAAAATGTTTAGCTCTTTTGCATTTTATTATTATACAACTTTAAACACATTTGTACTTTTTGCTGCTATTATTTCCTTTACATTAGTGGTATTATTTGCAAGAAAATACTTTGTTATGGAACACTGTAAACATATACACGAGAAAAATGTTAGTGTTCATATTTCCCCAATTCCTTTATTATTGTGTTTTGATTTATTTATTTATTTATTTATCTTTTGTCGTTTTTTGAGACAGGGTCTCTGCAGTTCAGGCTCGCCTTGAGCTAACTTTGTAGCCCAGGCTGGTGCTGAACTTGCAGTGATCTTCCTGCCTCAGCTCCCAAGTGCTGGAAGTACAGGTGTGAACTACCATGCTTAGCTTTCTTATTATTGCTTTTAATAACTTATTTTAATTTGTATATAAAGAAGGTCCACCCATTGTAATTGGTTGTTATATTGTTAAATATTCTTTTGCAGTTCCTGTTCCTTTTTTTCCATTTTGCAGAAGAAGGACACGAGATTTTTTTTTCACCTGTATGCTTCCCACCATGTGGAGTTTTCTAAAATATCTTCCTTGATGTCATTTAACATGTTCATTTGTTCCTGGCTTTTCCAGCAAATTGGTCACTAGATCTAGAGCTTTACTCAGATTCAGGGTCTTTTAATTTTATTTTTTCAGTGCTCTACTATGTGTGCAAATATGTGTCTCTTTGTGAAGCACTGAACTTATGAAAGAACCTAATTATACTCATAATACATATGAGAAAATTAGGTAGAGACTGTAGTGATAGAAGAGTGGGCTGCTAAAGACTCGTGATCTTGTTTGGTCCAAGATAAAATAATGTCTTCTTTTGTTTCAGGAGGTTGAGAAAATGTTAGAAATAGGGGGAGACAAGTTCCCCCTAGAAAGCAGAAAGTTACTAAGTAGTCCTGGAAAAAACAACAGTTTCAGGTAAATCTCCTCCAAGGGCAAGTTTACTTTTGGGGTATTCCCTAAATGTCAGGTCTGTGGTTGAGGGTGTTGCCAAAATTCCAGCTGCTGGTATTCAGCCTTCCTGTTCCACCCTGTGGAAATTGCCTCTTGTATTTCATTGTGCACTGAAGGCCTGCTCTGTGCCTTGCCCTCTGCCGGATACCAGCAGCCACAGGAGAAGAAAGATACATGTGCCAGTATCTGAGTGTCTTCCTCTGGGCCAGGCATGTGCAAAAGGGTTTGCTCACGTGTGTGCTCTCCCTCAGTCTTTACAACCATTTCCTGAGCTCAGTCTCCTTACCCACCGTTGTACAAGTGAAGAAACTGAGGCTTATAGGGCGTTGAGTAATTTGCTCCTGGTTACAATGCTAAGCATAAAAGTTAAGATTCAAACCCAGGTCTGTATGTTCTTTTTGCCCTTTTTTTCATCACTTCCGAAGATAAATAAGACATGGTCTTTACATCCAAAGAGTTTTCAGCCTTATGGACATGAGATGCCTACTCTTGGGCCAGCCTTTAGAGATAGACGAAGAAAGCCCATTCCAGTCTGGCTCATGGCATCTACCATTCAGACAGCCAAGGAGGAACTGAACTGAGATTACCAAAATGCGTTACTTCTGCCAATCAGTTAGCCCCTTTCCTTTCTTTACCAAACCTGTTGATCCCCACAGGAAACTAAAGTGTTCCATGTGTGGTTTCACTCCTGGCATTTTGTTTGCGTTGTTTACAAGAGAAACATATTGCCTGGAGGAGGCTAGAGTTCAAGAGGGGAACAGAGCAAGAAGAAAGTGGGGAACCTCGATCATGTAGGCCCCAGAGAACTGACTGACCAAGGGGCTGGTTGTACTGTGGGGCAGATTAGGAAAGTCTTTTCTTTGGTCCCTAATAACCTTCCTATATGCCACTATGGAGGGAGCCGTAGGCTTGGAAATCTTTGGTGGCACAGGAGGTGGGCCCTTCTTTAGCAGGATGTTGTCTCCTTTCTTGGTAGTTTAGAAGAAGCCTGTCTGGCCTATGAAAGAATTCAGAGTTCTCTGGGGCTGTAGGGGACCAAGGACCAGATTTAAAGTCTTGATTCTCCACTTAAGGTCGTTTGATCCTAAACAGACACAGCTCTGTGCGTTTTAATTTCCCCACCTTCAAAATGAGGGTGCGGTTAACCTCTGTAGCTGTGATAGTGAAGAAAATATAGTGTGACAGTCCTTTGTAAGCTACAAATGCAAACAATTTGGCTGTGTAAATGAGAAAGTGAGCGAGGAGCACCTGGCACACAGTCAGCACTCTGTGAGGAGTAGCTCCCAATGCCATCCTGTTGGTATCACGATGTCATCAGCGTCCATAGTGAGCTCCTCGGGAGGAGCAGCCACTACTTGGGGTACCAGCTTAGCTATTGTGCTGCTTTCTACACCAGCCTCAGTGGCTACGGGAACTGGACTCCATCTGATTCCTAGAGCTCCTGCAAGCTGTCAGCTGGGCTCCCTCAGGCGCTGTCTTTTCCCTTCCGATGGGGGTGGTGGTGGCCAGTACAGACTGAGATACATGTTTTGCGTATCTGTCTAACATTCACTGTCCTAAGTGTTGATTTCAGATGTGACCCCTCTGAGATTAATATATCTGATGAAATGCCTAAAACCACGGTCTGGAAAGCTCTCAGTATGAATTCTGGAAATACGAAGGAAAAAAGGTAAAAAGAACTGCAACTCCTGATTTTTATTTATTTCTGACTTTTGAAAATAACATTAATGTTGAAGGTAAAATGTGCTTTAGCTGTTAGATTGAATTTGTCTAATAAACGGCACTTCCAAGAGTGCTGCTAACCCCATGAGAATAGCTGTAAGCCTAATTAGAAAAAAGGAAAAATGGGTTATAAATATTGAAAGAGACAGGCTGTTTTGAGCTCCCCATTTACATAGGTCCAGAGTCAGGATGGAATTATTTTGAAATGTTAATTTGCTTTATTTATTTCTGTTAATCCTCTTCATGCTTATTTTGAAATCTAAAGGGCATCTCCTATTACTGCAAGCACACACACTAGAAAATTGCTGAAAGTATCTATTATTACTGTCAGTACAAACAAAAAGTATTGATACTAACTTTGATCTATTTAAATTATTCCATAACAAGAATTATTAGTTGGGCCTGGTGGTGTACATGTGTAATCCCAGCACTCTGGGAGGCTGAGGCAGGAAGCTTATACAATTAAGCCCAGCCTTGGCAATTGAGTGACTTTGCAAGACCTTTTCTCAAAATAAAAAATAAAAATAAGAAAAGGGCGAGGATGTAGTTCAATGTAAAAGTCCTAGGTTCCATTCCTAGTACCACCAAAAAAATTTTTTTAAGCAAAAAGAAATCTGAATTTTCACAATGAGGGCCTGGGGAGATAGCTCAGTAGAATAAGTGCTTGCCTGGCAAGCACAGGGTCCTGAGTTCAATCCCGATACTGGAAAAA